CACAAAAGAAATTGCACCCATCTCGAGTACCTTTTTTTTTTTGTCAAGGAAGATTAGCCCTGAGCTAACATCTGTTGCCAATCTTCCTCTTTTTTTCTCCCCCTCCCCAAAGCCCCAGTACATAGTTGTATATCCTAGTTGTAAGGAATTCTAGCTCTTCTCTGTGGGATGTTGCCACAGTGTGGCTTGATGAGCAATGCTAGGTCTGCGCCCAGGATCTGAATCAGGAAATCCTGGGCCACCGAAGCAGAGCACACGAACTTAACCACTCAGCCACAGGCTGGCCCCATGCATATTTTCTTTTTTGATTCTGATACTGATGGTCCAAAGAACATATTTAGAGAAATCCTGCCTAAAAGACATACGCCTACCAAGGCAGAGCAATTTTAAAGTGATGATTTAAATGAAAAGTCTGATATCCCTCAACTTTGTGAAAATTTTCAAAATATAGAGTTGAAAAAAGTGACATGATGAATACCCATATGCTCTCTAGCCAAATCTAACAACTGTTAATGTTTTACCACATTCACTCTTATTTATGTATATGTATAAAACTGTTGAACCATTTGAAAATAAGACGACACGTCACCCCTAAATACTTCAGTATCTCCTAAAAACAAGAATATTTTTCTACAATTGTAATTCCATTACAGTTAATTAACTAAGATTAACATTAAGTTCATATTCAATCCATGTTCCGATTTCTCCAGTTTCACTAATGTCTTTTAAACAAAGACCCAATCAGGGTTTAAGCATTATCGGTTATCTCTTTAGTCTCTTTTAACCTAGAAAGTTTTTTCTGTAACACTGACTTTTTGAAGAGACCATGTAAGCTGTCTTGTAGAGTGACACAGATTCTGGATGTGTCTCATTTCCTGTAAACTGGAAGTTAGGCTTAAATTCAATATAGACACTTTTGACAGAAATACTTTGTGATATTGGGTACTTCATATTTCATCACCTGATAGATTTTAACACTGATTTCAAGTAATTTGTACCAAACTTTCTAAAAAAAATTTTTCTCAGGGAACTAAAACATGTAACTCCATATATTCTCGTTTGAATATTGGCTTTTCATCTGTTATTTTCAGTTTTAGAGGTAATATAAAAGTAAAATGAGACTACAGGTTTTAGAAATTGTACAGTACTATACAGTTATTCTGCCTGCGTTCATTTTGGCATTTTTTGTTCCCTTTGGACACTTCTGTTGGTCCTGAGTTGCCCCTCCCAGCCCAGGACATCCCTGTCACAATACTATGCCAGGAGCCACCTCAGGCTCAGAATCAGATATCAGCTGACTGTGTCGTGACTTGGATTAGTCACTTGGCACCACCGTTCCCTCCCCGGTACGTGGGTGTGATGATGGGAAACTGCTCCTGCAGCTCCACGGTGGTGTGTAAGTCAGACGAAACCATGTGGATTCGTGTGCTTGAACTGCTAAGGCACTTCATTCATGCCACATTTACTGAGCATCAGCTGTGTCCCTGTGCCAGGCTCATGGGAGGATGTGGAAAACAAGGTCCATTCTCTGCCCCAGAACTTGGTCTGGCTGTAAACACTAGGGTGTGTGTCCAGGCCAAGGAATCGCTGGGGTTGTCTCTCCCTCACCTGCTCTACCCTCCCGCCTGCACCGTGGAGCAGCTGTGTGGTCTGGCAGTGACTCCAGGTTCGGGGTAGGGGTGAGCAGGGATAGCCTAGGAGGCATCTGACACATCTAAGCCAATCCTGCCAACCTTGCACTCCCGACCCCTGGCCAATGTTTGGTTCAGGAGCCCAGGCCTAAACCAATCAGAGGTGTCATTACCCTGCCCACTTCAGTTGGTTCCCAAATGGGAACACAACGCAGTTTGGATCAGAGATGTACAAGGTTGCCTGAGGCTTCTGGGAAAAATTGCCTTGCTCTTAAGATACACAAGGTGGAATGGTTTCTTTCCATCTGGATATCAGGCTTGGGTGCTAACCTAGGGATGGAGCTGTCACATGGAACTCACTCCCATGAGGCAATACAGACCCTTCCTTTTTATGCCCATTTGAGTTGATCTTCTGTTACAGGCAGCCAATAGTATCCAGAAATACAAGTGTGCTATGTTTGGGACCTTTAGAGTCACTCTTCCAAAGCAGTGTCAGTTGATTCTGGTGTGCGCACCAGTCTTTGGCGTCTCCTGTATGGCGTCTTTCCTTGCTGGATCCTTGACTGAGAGCCTAGTTCTGTGAGTCTGAATGCCCTGCTTTCATCCTAAACCCTACTATGCAGGCTAAGTTTGGTCTGATCCCCAGATGTGCTTTTAGACCCAGAACCTGCAACATCCTGGTCTCTGCTGAACATGTGGGCATATCTCACAGTTCAGAAACATCTGCTGGCCCCAGTGCCCCACAATGCTCTGCTCACTGTAGCCCCAGCACCACTCTGCTGGCAGGCCTCTGCCATCAAAACCCTGTTCTCAGCCCTCTCCACCCTTTCCTAACTCCCCTGAAGTTGGGATTATTTCTTCAAATTAGAACAGGCAATGGAAAGAAAAACAGAGAAAGGGGCAACTTTGTATTGCCATATTTAAATCGTGGGAAAATCTAATCATCAGTAGTCAAGGTTTAGTAAGATCATGATGTAAACAGCTTTGTTTTTTCAGATAGGAAAAACACAGACGAGGATGGTTTTCAAAACATTTGAGTCACTACAGCACTGTGGTGGGCCAAGGTTATGAAGGTTCTCAGCTGTGCCAGGCACCAACCTTGAGAAATGCGAGGATGTTCTTGGGTCGGGGGAAGGCCCTCAGGAAGCTCAGGGCAGCATCTAATTACTGACCGAAGGGGCATGTTTCAATGTTTTAACAATTTGTATAGCCACACCAGTCACAACCAGCTGAATGTCCACCTTGGATATGTATATATCTTAAACTATATAACATTTACTTGGGTTTTTAATGTTGAAAAACTTAGACATTTATTTATAAAAACCTTATGAAGATGGGTCATTATCTAAAACTACCATTTTGAAAGGTACCACAGTGAATGACAAATTACCACGATGAATGCCCAAAGTGTTTAAATTTAACTCACCCTTGGCTTTGGTTCAAAGGGCTAATGTTGGAAGCTATTATTAAATAATTAAAATAGACTCTTAAAAGAGGACCTGAAGGGAAAAAACAGGACCTTGGAAAAGACAAAGAAAAGTTAAACCTTAGTTTTAGGGTTAATTATCAGAGAGGTAAGGTGGTCTTCCTTGAAAAAGAAAAACCTACTTAGAAATGGAGGGTTTTTTCTTTAGCTTTAGCAGCTCAGCAAAGCAGCTTTGGGGGGAATGCTTGATGACAGCAAAACAAAGGCCTTACTGAAGGAAACACTTAGCACGATACCCCCAGGTTATGAAATGCATTTGCAAGTATGTGACTAAACTTATACTTTCTATTAGTGTTCACCAGATAACAGAAGTATCAAAAATTGTGTGTGTATGAGAGAAAGATATTGAGATTCTATGGTTATTCTAATTCAGAGTGGCTGCCCTGGCTTAAGGATATTAAAAACAGACTGTCTACCCCAAAGTCTAAATATTAGGAGTATTTAAGCAACAGAATTTTTATAAAAAGATTTTTTAAAAGTGGGTTCATTCATTTAAAGAAGCTTGCAGCTCAAGTGATCTACCATGGTGCCAGCCCGGGATGAGGATGTCCTTCCCTGGCTGTGATTGATTGCTGGTGGTCGCGCAGCCTGTACCACCTACAAATACCAACTGCAGTAGCAGCTAACAAGACAAGACACCCCGTCATTTAGATGATTAGGCAGGGAACAAGTGTTGAATTCAATTTATACAAACATAATTCTAAAACACTTTTCAATCATGTTTTGGAGTTTGGTATCTAACTTCAGATATATCACTAACTCTAACAAGACCCAGACAGTTTTCCTTACACCCACCAGCTTAACCTTTTTGATCTTACTCCATACCCCAAGGAACTAAATCCAAAGTACTTAGAAGGATTTAAGAAAACAGTGCAGACCAGTAGGAACAAAGTAGATAAAAACAATTTCCCAGCAACCAAAAATAAAACAAGGGAATGGACCACTGTGTAGGCAGCTCTCTCAGATTAAATTCTGTATAAATTGAATTGTGAAAGCAGATATGGTAGAAATCCTTCAGCTAATGAGGCATAGCTTGGTAAACTGGGAACTTAGTGAGTGTCCCTTCTAGACGTAAATCTGATGTCACTTAGATGGTATCAGTTTCCCTCTCTCTCTCAGGCCCACGTTCCTCTGTCACATCACCTTTGTCACACTGAAGGGACCAAAGACAGAAATAGTTCTTGAAAGGTGTTTTTTTTTGGAAGATTTGCACCTGAGCTATCATCTGTTGCCAGTCTTCTTTTTGTTGTTCCTACTTCTTCTCCCCAACCCCCCCAGTACACACTTGTATATTCTAGTTGTGGGTCCTTCTGGTTGTGCTATGTGGGACGCCACCTCGGTGTGGCCTAATGAGCGGTGCCATGTCCGTGCCCAGGGTCCAAACCAGTGAAACCCTGGGCTGCTAAAGTGGAGCGCGAACTCAACCTCTCGGCCACGGGGCCAGTCCCCCTGAAAAGGTGATCTTAGTTAACTATGCTCACAGACACTAATTTCATTACTTAATGTATTTTTGTTCCTCAGATTTCCTAGAATCACAGGTGATACCTGCCACCTACTGTTTAATCACCAGCGGGCCCATCAATCTTCAGTGTAGAAATCGTTAGTCTCATCATGTTGGTTATACCGTGTTTTTATTTCAGTTTGCCGGAGAAGAAGAAAAACAAAACAAACCAAAAACAAACAAAAAACCCAATTTCTTCTGCCAGTCCGGTCCTTCCCCACAGCGGTTGTTCCGACAGCCCTGAAGTAGCTGGAGCAGTCAGCAAGGGGCCCAGGTGGGGCGACAGTTCATCCTGATCTCTGCAAGTATATATTTATCTCCTTGGGTGCCTTGCACAGTAAGGCACTATTAATGATACAACAGAATAGAAGAAATGCCCACAGCAAATAGTTCTAGTGACAATTTACTAGACAAGTTACAGTTTAATGATGGTGGTGGTGATTGTTTCTTTCATTTTATTACTATTATTATTTTTCACAATAAGAGTGTAGCCTTTATACTCCACACACACAAAATAAAATAAGAAGTGCTTATGAAAGAGTCCCTGCCCCCACCCCCCTTCAAAACATCCTGAATGTAGCAATTTAATAGAACAGAAAAATCAAGACATGTTTGATTTCAAAATTTCAATAAAAAAGCAAACTATGTAATGCAACAGCTGTTCAAGTTCCAACTCTAAATAGGCACCATTAAACAAACAAAAAAACCTCCCAGTATTTTAAATTTCTCCAGCACACATTCCATTATAATGCTCTGAACTGTAATCAGCTAGTAATTAATAATGGGAATAGAATCTTAGAAGAGAAGTTATATTGCTTCCCTGACCCCCTTTCTCTTACAATTAGGGGATACAAAAGGCAGGAAGAATAAAAGAAAAAAAAAATTCCCCAAAGCTGCTGCTGTTTGAACTAGAAAGGAAGACAGAATTTTACAAATGTTCAAAAAATCCCAAGGCAAGTAACACAATTCGTTCACTATCACTCCTACTAGAAAGAATAAAGACATCAGCATCTTATATAAAACTGTACTTTCAGAATTGTATTACAGCTTCACCAGAAACTAGGGATGTAGTTATAGGCTTCACAAGGAAAACAAGTTCAGTTCAGATCAAGTTAGATACTGTACATCTAGCCTAGCTGGACTGGTGTCTCGAACTGCTCACTGTGTCACCCCGAACAGCTGTAAACTAAACAATAGTACGTAACTCCATAGGAAGCTTAAGGATTGAGGACATGTACATAGCTAATTATATCTCCCCTGCTTCGCGCTCTTCAGAGCTCCTCCTGTCTTCTGATCTGCCATTAGCGCTCTCATAGGACCGCTTCTTATCTTTTCGATCTCTGTCACGAGGTGATCTGTCTCTTGAACTCCTGTCTCTGTCACGTGATGCTAAGTCTTGGTCTCTGAATCTTTCTTTTGAGGATCTGAAAAATATTAATTTGAGGAGCAAAATGTGTTGGGAAACCCAAAATCCAAATGAAAGAATTGGATAAATATTAAGGTATTGCTAGCTGAAGATATAGAGAATACATCCAAGAAAGAAAGGGGAATGATTTATAGGATATTCTCATTATCACAGAGGCAATCATAGCAAATTGATAGCAAATGTATTTAATATAAAAAATAATATAGAGACAATACCTTTAAAAAGTGAAAAATGTTGTCAAATTTTTAAAAAATATATAATAGAATTTAGATTCCAAATTGAATGGAAATCAATGACTGGACACAGGAGTCAGCAAACCTTTTTTCTTTGCTGTCTAGTGAGACAGTAAACATTTTAAGGTTTTGTAGGTCACATACAGTCTCTATGGTACATTCTTCTTCCCTTTCTTTTTATCACCTCGTTATCAAAGTAAAAACCATCCACAGCTCGCTGGCTATACAAAAACAGGCTACAGGGCCAGATTTGGCCTGCAGGCGGTACTTTGCCAACACTTGACTTATATAAGAGAACTACTCAATTAATGGTATGGCTTTAAATAACCATTTATTATTTTGAATATCTACTTTACTCCTCCTGAATTAGCTCATTCAACCAACAGAAAAAAAATCAGAATGGAAAACAAAGAAAGATGATCACACCATAATAAATCTTGATTAACCATAACTGCTTCTTAATACCATCTGCTCCATTCCCATACCCAACTTCAATAAGAAAGGTAAATAATAACAAAACAAGCTCATATCAGAGATTCAATCAGAAGGAAAACCAAAGGACGGTGGGATCAGAATTAATACGGAATCTTCCATACTTTCAACATCTAGAATGACTCAGTAACATGTATTACATTTATTTGATTCTTTACAGGTGACATGGTACTTTTACATAATTATCTCACTCAACCCATGTTTAGAATTAGGATCTGAGGCACTGCCAAAAACCTGAATAAGTAATACTTTCAACTTCTAAGGCAGGAAAAAAACTACCACTGAAATCAGTTTTAGAAATATAGTTAAGGAGGGTCAAACCAAAAAAGCTGGAAGATTAAATAATGTTAACTTTGAGCATTCTATTTAATTAAGGTTTTAATAAGCTTAATTAAAAAATGATGTGTAAAAAAAAAAATCATACAGTGCATGCCTAGTTACACTAGCCCTACCTATAGCCTTTGTAAGAACAGAACATGGAGAGAGATGATGGAGACGATGCCTAAGAATAAGGACACCAGGTGCTGGTAAGTCCCAGAGGTTGGTGGTAATAACTGAAAAACAACTATGAGATGAGCATCAACTAACGTTTTGTGAGAGATTACAATGTCCCAAACATAAGCAGTTTCTATTCACTATTTCACTCAAATAAGCCTAATAAGGTAGGTACTCTGACTATCTTTACTTAGCAGATGGGGAAAGACAGGTAGGATAATTAGATTACTGGGCCCAGGGGGCCAGTGAACTCAAGTAGGCTTACTCTGAAGTCTGCACTACATGTGTCTAAACAGAATAGGAAGCAGAAAAATGCAAATAGTCCTCATTTACCAAGGGTAACTAACTATTGCCAGAGAAAGGTTACAAGCAGAATCTACTTATGTCAGAGACCAGTATTTCACAGTTGGAGCAGGAGAACTGCAAACAAAAAACTTCTAACTGGGACTTTCACCTTGAAAACCAAATATATAGCAATAACTTGATGTTATCTTATATGTCATAACGTAGGTTTTAATAGCAATTGCTAATTTTTGGCAAAAACAAAGAATGTTACTTTGAAAGAATAATTTGCATATAAGGATTAGAAGTGCTCTTAAGGAAAGCAAAATTTATAATAAATAATCCTCTTTATGAACATGCTGAAAATATTAGATTAGAGGTGTCATGTAGTATGGTGGAAAAATTTCCTATACAACTTCATAAATGCAGGAAGCATTAGGGACGAGGAAAACCCAATCTCGGATGAGGAGACTTCATGCCCATCCCTTCCATCCCCACCACCAATGAAGGCCTTTAAACATTCAGACACCAGAAACTATGATAGGTGGGCAGGCTGACAAGGGAAATGGTCTACATCTTCCATCAACCAGAAGGATGATTCTCAAAATTTATACCACAGATACGACTCACGGAGAAGTTTTTTAAATGCAATTTTCTGGGCAATGCACTTGGTGCCCACAGTTTTAAGAGTGTGAGATAAGTGGTCTACAAATGACACTACGGGGAACTCTGTCCCTTAGAAATTCCTTGCTTGTTTTCTGCATTTGCTTGTGATATTCACTCTATCTTGAATACCTTTTTCCTACCTGGTTTTACCTATTCAAATTATACCTACTTTATTCAAGTTTTATCTACTACCTGAAGCCATTTTTTATCACTCTGGAATCTCCCTCATCTAAATTCCTGTATTATTTACTCTATGATATAAAGTTTAGTACGTTATAATATATTAGGTCTTATATCAGTCTCATTATTGTCAAAGATGTTAGTCCTGTGTTCTAACTCACTCAAAGTTGTTTAACTATGTTGTATTTCTTTGTTATTTTTTTACTAGGCTAGTAGAGTAGAAAGTATACAATTCTTACTGACTGAAGTCACCTTAAGAACTGCATGGTCTGCTAAGAGAATAGAACTTAAATGTTCTCACCAAAGAAAATATGTGCAGTGATGGTGTTAATTAACTAATGGTGGGATCCTTTCACAAAGTATACATATATCAAATCATCACGATGTACACTTTAAATATCTTACAATTTTATTTGTCAATTATAGCTCAATAAAGGTGGGGGGAAAAAAAGAATCTCGAAAAAAAAAACCCTACTTGGAACAAGGCAAGAATATAATAAATAAAATACTGATTGAGAGCCTATTAACCAACTGAGCTTGCAAGTAGTTTCAGGGAATGACTGGTTCAGGGTCAAAAAGAAAAAAGATTTTCAACAGCTTTCTGTGGATTCTATCATGGGCTTTATGTGGACTAATCCATAGAAAATTTAAGACTAGTAGGTACCAGGCACTCAAAAAGTCTGTCATACATACGCTTAAGAAGAGTTGGCAAGAAAAAAGCTATTTTAAGCATGGTTTATGTTCCATAGAAATCACCTGGCTTAAGGGCCATCAGATGACCTGAGAAGCTCTGGGAGCTTGGTCTACACAGACTGCGAATGCTGAGGCTCCATCACATTCGAATTCTTTGTCTGTCCTGAATAGATACTCAGGTCCTTAAACATTCCTCACTCTAAGTCTACCCTCCTTGCACGTTTTGAGTTTTCATGTCAAGGAAGTGTAACTTCTTAAGATTCTGAATCTGCCCTGCCAAGTAACTGTATATAACAATGCATATACCTAAGTGCAGATTAAATAAGAATACTAGAATGTGTCTGCTCTGAAAAAGTGCACAAGTTCAAAGAAGTCTGGAAAACAATGAGTCAAACAAAGCTAAAAAACTTTTAATGAAAGGACTTCTCAGAGCCCCTAATTTGCCAATACATACTGAAAAAACTCCGAGTATTGGTACCTAAAATTATTTGCCCATAAAGTACTTTTTTTACAAGACACTGTAAGCAGAGAAAAGCAGTAACCTCTGCACATATTGGTTCCAATTTCTTACTCTGGCTCATACGTATGTTCTTATTGAATTACCCATATAATCAGGGAAAAATACGTTATACACCCACACAAATGTGTACATATCACCAGAGGCAAGTTGCAAACCAACAGTATCCAACTCTCAATCATAAAGGGAGCGCCACTCCTCTTACGGATGCCTCAGTACCTCCTCCTGGATCGCTCTCTGCTCCTGTCTCTAGAACTGTGCCCGCTTCTCTGGTGGCTGCGGCTGCGGCTGCAGCTGCTGGAACGGGATCTGTGGCGATGGCGTTTCTCCCGGGATTTGGATCGAGTTCTCCTCTTCCGTTCCCGTGACATGGAGCGAGACCGATGTCTGCGATGCTCTCTGGACCTGGATCTACAGAAAACATCTGACTTAGTTTTCAGCTTCGGCAGCACCACACTTCTTGCTTTCTAAAGCTTTTTCTTTAAAGAGAAAATATCCCTCTGCAGCCTTATTTAATGCCAATTCTGTTTCAGGTCAGCTAAATCTACACTAAAATAAATTGCTGGCATATTAAATAACTACATGCTAGAATTCAAAAATAAAAATTAAACATGGGTTCTCAGAGGTCAATCAGTATTGTATAAATTTACATCAGGAATATCAAAAAAGTGAAAGGAAACAACCTCTACCACTACTACACACCACGAATTGTATTATCTAGAGGCTTTATGGATTTAATTCCATTTAAACTTCTAAGATTTTTAGTATACTTTAGAAACAAAGTAAGTACCTGATGGACATGGACAGAAGAGAGGAGAGGCATGAGAAAGAATATTGTTTAGAATAAGTTACTAACTCTGAATTAGAAAGGTTATATGAACTTCAAAGTAAGTTTGAATGCCCACAATACCCAGTCACAATGTAATTAAAACACAGTAAGACAGTTCTCTATTCAAGTAGTACATGATTTGTGAGGAAAAACTCACATGCATAAATCATTTGAGAACTTTAAGTTGGGGGAAAAAACACTATTTACAAGTACATATGAGAAGGAAAAACATTTAGAAGAAATTAGAAGGAAAAACACTCCTGTAGGCTCCACTTGGTTGCAAAACTAACTTGGGTATTATGTGTGTGGTGAGAGTTGGGATGGCATATGCAAAGGACATAAAACATTTGAGAGAAAACAAAGGGGAAGAAAGGCATGCAGCTTTGTTAGAAAAGGCACTTTACAAGTGATGAAAATGTTCTAAAATGGATTGTGATAGATGCACAACTTTAAATTTACTAAAAATCATTTACTTTACACTTAAAATGGGTGAACTTATGGTATGCTATGTAAATTATACCTCAATAAAGCTGGTACAAAAATTTTTTTAAGCACCTTAAGAATGTGATGTTTTCTTATAATTTGATAAAGTTCAAACGCATATCATTAAGTTGACAGAATTTATAAACTGAGTTTATTTCCAAATGATTATTTTGTTAAATGAAGTTTAAATGCATTCAGCTTATGTCCACATTATAGGCAAAGAAAGTCACAGATTGTGGACCTAGCATCAACCACAGCTGAAGAGACTACTTCCACAACTGAATAAAAAATATTTCCGAAAAGGAGCACAGGGAAAAGAACATAACATTCACTCGATACAAGTTTTATCAAATGATATTTTGTTTAATCACTCATTTTGAGCTATTATAATGAATCTATTCCTTCCAATGCATAACTTTATTCATCTTAAAATTTTGTCTTCTTTGTGGAAGATTAGCCCTGAGCTAACATCTGCTGCCAATCCTCCTCTTTTTGCTGAGGAAGATTGGCCCTGAGTGAACATCCATGCCCATCTTCCTCTACTTTATATGTGGGATGCCTGCCACAGCATGGCCTGACATGTAGTGCTTAGGTCTGCATCTGGGGGTCTGAACCAGCAAACCCCGGGGCTGCTGAAGCAGAACGTGTGAACTTAATTGCTGCACCACCAGGCCAGCCCCACTTCATTCATCTTTGGAAAAAAAAGACTTCCTTAACCTCATGGAGCTTATACTCCAGGAAGAGGTTTACATAGATATGTAGGCAGTAAATAAAGATAGGTCAGGTAGTAAAGAAATGATATATTAAGAAGGGTAAAGATGGAGAGAGAGGAGGTAGTAATTTTTTATACAGAATAGGCAGGGAAGGCTTTTCTGACAGGATAGCATTAAAGCAAAGATGAAATGAAGTAAAGGAATCAGCTAATAAGCCATCTCAAAGAGTGTGTCTGGTAGAGGGAACACAAAGGCCCTAAGGTGAGAAAGTTCAGCATGTTGAAGGAATAGAAGAGACCCACTTGGCTGGAATGAAGTGAGCAAAGGGGAATAGTATCAGGGGTATTACAGGCAGGATGACCAAGTTCTTTACCATTCATAACAGGAGGCTCTGAATGATAAATTATGTGGCGGGGGGTGGGGATTAATAACTATGCTGAGAGAAGACATAAAATGGAACTACCCCAGGGCAGACTGACCACTCTACTTAAAAGCTATGGTGAGGATTTCAACTTCTGTGAGAGATGGAGCACCTCCGGAGGGTTCAAACAGAGGCCTGACGTGATTTCTTTCACTTTGTAAAGGGCTCATTCTGGCTGATGTGTGAAAAACAGACTGAGGTGGAAAAGAAGAGTGGGCAAGTATAGAAATTAAGATAGTAGTTAAGAGACTTTTATAATAGAGAGGTAAGAGGTGGCTTGGACTAGAGTGGTAGAAATTAAATTTCTGGCCTGAATATCTAAAGATGTTTTATGTCTAAACCCTTCAAGTATCTTTTCAACAAAGGGACTAGCCTGTATTAGTTAACTGGTAAACAACTACAGTGTCATCATCTAATGCTTCTATTTCTTATCCTGGATTCGAGAAACTCACAACAATATAAATTGGTCTCGTTTATTAAGTCTTCGTTTTTTGGTGTTTTAAGCAGAAATACCACTGAAATTTTCTTGAAAGTACTAAAGGGCATGTAACAGAAATATAAGGTTTTTCTTTCATTAACAACAAATGCTCCAATTTATAGGGAAAAGTTCTTGGGAAATACTCTTCAGAGTTAAGAGTACTCAGAAGGTTTCAAAAAGATGTGATGTGAACAAGAGGAATGGGAGGATTTGAAAAAGAGAGAAAGGGCATTCTACATGGGAACGGATCCATGAGAAAGACTCCGGAACGGGAATGGTAAGTGAAGAATTAAGAATGATGAAGTACATTATGTTCCCCACCATTCTGAGAAAAAAATTACCAGTACTTAGTAAAAACTATGAGAAAGGCTTCAAAAGCCCCCAAATATTAATGCCCAACGCCAAAGTCAAGTGTTATCTTGTCCTCTTCGTCTTTAAGGCTGTAAGCACCCTTTAAAGCCTTTTGTGATCACTGTAACAAAGGGATAAACTCATAGAAAGTCAAGATCAAGGCATAAACTAAACATTTCAGTTTCCCTTAATAACCCACCATGGATCTTTTTCATTCAAAAATATATCCAACTATTTAACCTACTTATATTTTCCACAGGTACAACCTCTTCGAATGTTTCTTAAATGCACCACTCAAATTGATTTTTAAAAAATAAATCCTGTCACATGTTTACTCTGAGCTTCTAAAGATTTAAATTTTTATTTAAAATTTCTTTACATTTCTTTAAAATATAAGCTTTCGCTATAACTCCAGGGCACTGTATATAATTACTCTGACAATACTAAATTGTAGTCCATGAGTATCTTCTGACCAGTTTCTTCTCAAATGACATTGCTCAAACTTAAACTACAAAAGAATTAAGAGTATTAATCTATTAATTCTCATCCATTTTTAAAAGATATTTAATCTATAAAAATAACCTTTGAAAAACACAGCTTCACTACTTATACCTTTCTTATACAATAACCTACCTTTTTGGATTCTTGCTATGTGATCGAGACCTAAAAAAAAAACTATTTTTAGAAAAGTAACCATAAATGAGAAAAAATGTGCGGTTAAAATTATTCTTCCTGATTTTTAATTTTTATACCAATTTTATAAATATAAGGCATGTATTGTATGCATACAAATTTTTCCAAAATGCACCACAAACTCTATAGACATCCCCGCCTTGGCATATGAGCCTCCTTAACTAGGTTATCTGGCGCTAAAAAAGAATATGCTCCTAGGAGACTATAACAGTACATCACAACTCACTAATTCTCCAGAAACCACTTCCCAACCTGGAAAAAATTATTTGTCATTTATATCTCTGTCATTTCTTCTTTCCCTCTGGAAACAAAGTAAAATTCCTATGATGAGATGCATACACTTTGGAACTACAACCTCCTACTATAACCCCTAGAATGCCTGATTCAATCTTACATCTGCTTCTTAACATGAAACACAATACTCTTACCTGGAAGCACTCTTCACATTTCCCAGCACAGAATTAATGCTCAATAAGTAGTAAAAGCTAATATCATGGTTACTAGGAAGGCACAGAGGTTTTTTGTGGAGAATATACAGCATGGTTGATACACAGCTGTGGATTCAGCCTGACGTAAGTTGTAACTCTGGTTTCACCAATCACCATCTGTGTGACCTGGGCAGACTATATATTCTCTCTCAGCTTAGTTTGTCAATTGCAAAGGAGGAATAGTAATATAAATTTCACAGGGGGTTGTAAGGATCAGATGAACTAATATAAGTAAATTCTTAGCACAGTGCCTGGCACATGATAAGCAACCAGTAAGTGATAGTAATTTTTATTATTACCCTTTTCACTACCATACTTGGAATCCTATCTCATGTAATTCTGTACTTGCTTGTAATTTCCTTATCTTCCATACTTAGTTGCAGCATTTCCTCAAGTTCGTAGATTAAAAAAGAAATTTTCAAAAACATTTCTGAAATAGTGTTACATTTTATAAACAGTGTTAAAAGAAGTTTGCCAGTTGGCAACAAACAAGTAAAGATGTGATGTACTTTCTTATCATCTGTGAATGTGAAAACGTAATCAGGCAAAGAATTCTTTTTCCCCCATTTGACTGTCACCTCAGTTGAATCATTTATATTACTAGCACTAAATTCAGTTGAATTTTAACTTAAACTGAGATTTCTAATGCCATTTATATGGTCTTAAATATTACATACTGGGTAATATTCCCATGGAAACTTAGTGTACACAAAAGAGCACAGACATAAAGCTCTTGAGTTAAAATTTATGGTAAATGAAGAACATACATATCATTAGAGGAATGACAGCACTTTCCCTAAAAAGGGAGGATACCCATATATAGCTGTGTTTCATCTTGCCATGACACTGTAAAAAGATTACCTGTTACAAGCCATGTAACAAACGAAGTCAGTTTAAATGTCTTGAAATTAAAACTGCAGGTCAATGTTCTGAGTCACTTTTATCCACTGGCAACAAATGCATCGCGTCATGGTGAAACATTCTTTGTAACACATCTTCATAACTACTGTAACAACTTGAGGATGGACAGGATACCTGCAGTTTTCATTTATAGTGTTCCTTTAATTGTATTACACATCTCTAAAATTTAAATAAATTCTCTTCTGTAGATATTGTGCCTAAGTTAATTAAACTCCTTTATAATATGTGACTAGGTCATGCCACCTTCCTCCAAGCTTTGAGCATGTTATACTCAGTCTATTTCAAGACATTTAAACTGACTTCATTGTACATTTTAAAGGAAATCACCTGGACTTAAATGGCCACAAGTGAACATGCTCATATAAATATTCTTTCATATGGTAATATTTTTAAGAGTAAACAAAATTTCCCACGTCCAGATTTATTAACATCTAAAATCTTGCATCAATCACATCTCTTTTGAGAACTGGAGATATTCAGCTTCAGATACTGGGACTAGTCAATTAATTACTCCATACCTCCTCAGCTTCTCTCTTTCTTCTCTCTCCCTTTCTTCTCTTCGTTTTAGGCGTTCCTGGTTTCTTTTCTCCTGCTTCTCAGCGACGACTCTCTTAAAAAACAATGATAGGTCAAATAATAATAAACAGAAAGCATTATTTACTGAGTCCATTCTTACTGAGCATTATCTTAAACTTTAACATATCTGGTTTCCAATATAGTACAAGGTAATATCAAAATCTGTTTAATAACAATTCAATTTGAAGTTTTGCCAGGCCATCAGGCTTACAAGTCTGGTTTCTAAAATCTTTCCTTGGGGGAACATTTGTAACACTCCATGTTTCTCCATCATTTCTTAATGATATTTCAAAACCCCTTAAGATTGTCCACTTCTGAATGTTTTCTAGCATTATTTTGTGTTTTTTCGAACATCAACCATTATAAATCACCATAAATTTCCATGCTCTATGATTTGCAATATAGAAATGTCTTCTGTCACTTCCAATTACCATCTTGATGTTGCTGCTTTTAAAAATACCAATAAAATGCTAAACAATTCTGTTGCTCGGTCTATATCTGCAAAGATACCCAAGTAAATAGAATCTTTGAGTTTTACCTTAGAGGCCCACACCATTTGCTGTAGTGAAACTCATTTTGTGATTTTTAAAAAATTTAACCCAAGATCATCCTCACTACTCAGAATACTGAGAAGAGCTCAGTATTAACTGTAAATATGGAGATGTCTCTAGCTGTTTCTGATTCCACCTTATTTTAAATGTCAAACTATGGATCTTGGGTTAATTCCAGTCATAAATGCATAAAGTCACTATCCAGTGTTTGCCACCTTTGAGCCAGTCCTGAATTCATGACAAAATGCTACAGTGCCACAATTTTTAAAAAACTAACCACATAAGACTGTTGAAAAGTAAACTGATTATATCCATTGACCACTTATGTTTACCGTTTCAGATACCCTCACTTTGTTTTTTAACTTCTCAAAAGAACTCAGCAGATGTGTAAGAACTGTGTTGTCTTTCTCACGACAGCCTATATATTTAAGTGACAGTGACTGTCTATTTTTTAAAAACAGGTTTCATTCTAAGTCTCTTCTGAAATGGAGGCAGAAGCATAAAATAAAACTAGAGGTCCTACAAACAAGGTCCTGGCTATTTGGTGAAAAACTGGAAAATATTTCAAATAAATACATGACTCATTTTCTCCATCTTCCTTTAAATATTTGTTATATTAATATTATTAATAATTTTATATAAAAGAAAATAACAATAGAAATTTTAGGGGACTTTGTATGAAAGGATTAGTTTAGAACCCAGTTTGGAAGATTCCTAATTCAACATGATACCCAACACAAAACATTACCTCCCAAAATAAGGGGATTGCATTTCAAAGTCTGTTTCTCAGACATCATTCACTAAACCAGTTGGTATCTCCATTTATAATCCTACCCTATTCAATATGAATTGTTAACAGAATCGCAGTCAAGAATATTATACAAAAAGACAACTAACCACAACTAATGCAGATCAAAAGAATGAGTGGCTAAATAGGATAAAGTGACAGATATTAATTTACCAATATACCTTTAATTCTTCAAGCTTCTCTCTTATTTCAATAAATCCCAGGTGCAATTTACCCCCAAAATGATCGGCCAATCTTCTGTCATTATCATGAAGACCTAAATAGGCAGAGCAGACTTCACAGACTCGAAGTTTCTGCTGTTGGAAACTTGAAGCTGGCATAGAATTCCGATAAACTTCCTAAACAAAAGCAAGGAAAACAATGTTCATCATAAACCTCACTAAAAGTCATACAATTAAACAAAATTACACTGTTTATACTAAAAATGTTTTTAAATGACTACACAAAATCAAGGCTATTTTGTCACAAAAATTACAGGTACCCCATGTCCCCCATCCTCTGTTCTCAGGACCTGTCCACTGGAGGCAAAAGATCAGAGCCTCAAACACCTTTTGCCAAGAACTACCATTAACAATTCTACTATGATTCAGAACACAACATTAAAAGGTTTTCTCAATGTTTTACAATATTCTGTTTTCTATAATTTTTCTTAAAAATGAGATGTAGCAACCCCAGAACTATACAGCAGTGAAGGGTCAAGGAAGCAAAAGCTGCCCACGCTTGCAGAGAAGGACTGTCTGTCTTCCATATTGTTAGAGCTTCCTTTTTCCCCACACATCATTTCCCCCTGCTCTGGAAATGTGGACAAGACATACTAATGATAAGACTTCCCACTAAACTAAAAGTAGTTCTATAAGACAAGAGATGAAAAGTGTCTTACTGAGATTAAGATGTCTTGTACTCAACCATTTTATTTATTTTAAGTTCAGTAGTGAAATATAGATTAGTGGGTTTGCCTATCCACTCTACCCTTTACCCTTACTGAAAATTCTGGTTTTTGTTGAGGCAGCAGCATGCCCAAATAAAAACATTAACTTTCCAAGCTTTAAAGTAGCTTTGGCTAAGCAGATATAAGTAGACATTGCTGGATAGAGTCTATAGGAAAGTTCTTTAAAAGGGAGTCAACAAATTCAGACGAAAATCACCAATGGCTTCTACAACCTGTGGATCAAAAAGTGATGGGAAACAGAACATTCACAGTTTCAAATGTGTCATACCAAAATACCTATTAATTACTAAAAAGAAAACATCGTAACTTCACAGTGGAAAAATAGGCAACATCACCAGAAATGGTACAAACCACTAACGTTTGCCTTCTGATAGGATATAACATTACTTCAGTGGCATTCCTCTGAAAAGTCTAACCAGGAAGAAAAATTAGACAAACTCGGGGTCGGCTCTGTGGCCAAGTGGTTAAGTTCGTGCATTCTGCTTCGGCGGCCCAGGGTTTCACCGGTTCAGATCCTGGGTGCAGACATGGCACTGCTCATCAGGCCACAGTGAGGCAGCATCCCACATGCCACAACTAGAAGGACCCACAACTAAAATAGAACTATATACTGGGGGGGGTCTGGGGAGAAAAAAAGCAGAAAAAAAAAAAGATTGGCAATAGTTGTTAGCTCAGGTGCCAATCTTTAAAAAAAGAAAATTAGACAAACTCAAACTGAAGGACACTTTATAAAATAACTGGCCTACAATTTGTTTTTGAAGATTTTATTTTTTCCCTTCTTCTCCCCAAAGCCCCCTGGTACATAGTTGTATATTCTACTTGTAGGTCCTTCTGGTTGTGCGATGTGGGCCACTGCCTCAGCATGACCTGATGAGCAGTGCCATGTCTGCACCCAGGATCCGAACCGGGGAAACCCTGGGCCACGGAAGAGGAGCTCATGGAACTTCACCACTTGGCCATGGGGCCGGCCCCAGGGGAATTCTTTATACTACTTTTATTTTTTTACTTATCTGAAACTATTTCAAAATACAAGTTTAAAAAAGGAAAACACAAACACACAAAACAGAAAGGTGAGTCAACCTAATTCCTATGCCTTGTTATTCCTCCTCTTTATGCAAAGAGGAAAGGCTTTAGGCTTAGTGGCCATATTGCTACTACAAACTGGATAAGCATAAAGATGAATCCAACATAAAGCCAGAAGTAGCCTGTAGCTAGATGGCTTCATGGAGTTGCTGTACCAACCCCAGACTCTCTAACCTTGAATATTTAGTAAATGAGAAAAACAAAACTCTTCTTTGGTTAAGCCATTATGAGTTAAGTTGTCTATTATGGGCAGTGAACACAATCTATAATTTTTTTAATGCACTATCCTTAGTAAAGTGCAAGTAAATTTCCTAATGCATTATCCTTAGTAAAAATCAACTGATGATAATATATAACAGGCTAAAGACGTTAAGCTACTGTGTAATACCAGTAAATCTTCAACTACATACTTATGAAGTTTTACGGAAACTAGTATATGGAAGCAAAGTAATAATGCTCACTGGATTCATTACCCAAGAGTCTTTTGGGGAAATAAATTAGCTATAATACTAAATAGTACGATATTAGTATAAATATTTGCATTTTAAAATGCAGTGTTTTATTTTCTGGATTGATATTAATTACACTTAAATAAATTCTAAATATTAAGACATTAAAATTACCAACAAAGGCTACATGGCATATCTTTTTTCATCCTATTACCTTTAATGTGTATCTTCATATTTAAAGTGGACTTTGTAGCTAGCATATAGCTGAGTCCTGCTTTTTTTAAAAGAAAAATCCAGTCTCACAATCTCTGCCTTTCAATTGGAGCGTTTACACCATTTACATTTAATGTAATTATTGATACATTGGATTTAAATCTACCATGCTGCTATTTTTTTTCCTATACGTCCAATCTGTTGTTTGTTCCTTTTCTTCTGCCCTCTTGTGGACTAAGTGTTTTTTAGGATTCCATTTTATTTCTCCTCTTAGTTATACCTCTTTTTTTCCTCTAATGGTTTCTCTAGGGTTTATGGTACACAACCTTTAACTTACAAAGAAAGCTAGAAAGGCTTTATTAATATCAAAGGAGATTTTGGGGCCAGCCCCATGGCTAAGTGGTTAAGTCTGTGTGCTCTGCTGTGGCAGCTCAGGGTTTCGCCAGTTTGGATCCTGGGCACAGACATGGCACTGCTCATCAGGCCACGCTGAGGTGGCATCCTACGTGACACAACTAGAAGGACGTGTAACTAAGATATACATCTATGTACCAGGGAGACTTGGGGAGATAAAGCAGGGAAAAAAAAATAGATTGGCAACAGTGGTTAGCTCAGGTGCTAATCTTAGGGGAAAAAAAAAAAATCAAAGGAGATTTCAGAACAAGGGATGTTACTAGGGATAAGTAAGGACATTTCAAAATAATAAAGGGTTCAATTAATCAAAAAGACATAATCTTAAATGTGTACTAACCTAATAACAGACCTTCAAAATATACAAAACAAAAACTGACAAAATGCAAAGCACAAATAGACAAACTCACAGTTACAGCTGGAGACTTCAACATTCATCTCAGTAAATAGTGTACAAGAAGTAGAAAACACACAGCATATAGAAGACTTGAACAAATCCATCAACTATCTTGACTCAACTGACATTTATAGAACACTCCACCTAACAAGGCAGAGCATCATTCTTTTCAATTGCAGATGGAATATTCACCAAGACAGACCATATGCAGGACCATAAAACAAATATAGACGAATTCATGATAAGTATTCTCTGACCATAACAGAACTAAATCAAAATCAGTAACAGAAAAGCATCTGCAAAACGTACCAAATATATAAAAACTAAACACACCCACAATAACCCATAGGTCAAAGAATAAATCATAAATGCTATTAGCAAACATTCTGAACTGCATGAAAATGAAAACACAATATAAGAAAATCTGTGGGATGCAGCTATAGCTGTGCTTAGAAGACAACGTATAGCATTAAAATGGTCTAAAATCAATGATCTAAGCTTCCATCTTAAGAGCCTAGAATAAGAACAAATTAAACCCAGGGGTGATAGTTAGAAGCAGGGGAGACTATGACAAAAGGAAGAGTACAATTTCATGTGAAGGCATTCCATTTAAAAAAAAGAAAAACAAACAAATTGGGTGGGCCAAACAAAATAGAACTTTGTCCGCAGGATATCAGATTTTGACCTTTGCTTTGGAGGAAGAATGACAGGAAGCTCCCAAGGTGCTAGCAGATTATACTGAGGTGGGAAGTATCTTTGCAAGGGGATAGAGTCAGGGTTAGGGTATCATAATGACCATGTTCACAGAGAGTATGTGACTGTTACATGTGCGTGACTGTTATGACTAACTAACAATTTCATTTACCAGTTATAAATTTCAACAAATTGATGGCTCTAAATTAAAAAAAACCCTGTAATTTTGATACACAACCCATTAGTACAACATGGACTAATCTCTTTCTTCTTCTTTTTTTTTCCTGAGGAACATCTGCCCTGAGCTAATGTCCACTGCCAATCTTCCTTTTTTTTTTTTCATATGTGAGCTGCCACCACAGCATGCCACTGACAGATGAGTGGTGTAGGTCCGCACCTGGAAACCAAACCCAGGCCGATGAAGCGGAGTGCACCAAACTTAAGCACTAGGCCACTGAGGCTGGCCCCAAATATTTTTAAATTGGCTTAAATTCCCTTTAGTAACTTTTCAATAATTTCTAGTCAAATACATGTTCTTTAAGAAGTACAGATACAAAGGCTCCATATACTACTGTTAAGAATTTAGTTACCTCTGCTTCTCTCTTCTTTGCCCGTGCTTTCTCTACTTCATCCATTACTTTCTGGGATTCTTCCACATTCCCTTCAGCTCCTAGTTGTTCCACCTTGGCCAACAATTTACCAATTTCTTCATTTAACTCATGAACACGTTCTGCCTAGAAAGAAACAAAAGAGAAGATCATGAATAAAAAGCAGAATGAGTATCAAAGTTCAAAATATGTCAGAAATGCTCAGAAAAGACTTAACGTTATCTAAGGTAAACTGAGTATAAATAATGCCTTTGAGCATATCCTAAGTGAACTGGTGGGACATGAGGAGATTCTGAGCCTGCCTGCCTGCCTGCCTTCACTTTAGTGAGGTCAGGGATACAAGGGATTTCAGTAGAACTATTACTTTCCAACCTTGCTTAGGCAGTGTATTCCAAGGATAAAATACCTTTTCTTCCACAATCTGGCCCTCTGTTCCTTTCCAAACCATCTCTTGCTGTTCCCCCACTTCACAACAAAATCTAGCTATATTTAGTTTCCCAAACTTACCCTGTTGTCTTCTGCCTCTATGACACTGCACATACTGTTTCCTCTTCCTGGGATGCCATTCCTTACCTCCCTTGCCTGCCTAGTCAATGTCAATTCATTCAACCAGATCCAACTCGAGTCTATTCTTTTTATTTTTTGAGGAAGATTAGCCCTGAGCTAACATCTGCTGACAATCGTCCTCTTTTTGCTGAGGAAGACCGGCCCTGAGCTAACATCCATGCCCATCTTCCTTTACTTTATATGTGTGATGCCTATCACAGCATGGCTTGCCAAGCGGTGTCATGTCTACATCCGGGATCCAAAACAGCGAACCCCGGGCTGCCAAAGCAGAATGTGTGAACTTAACCGCTGCACCACCAGGCCGGCCCCTCAAGTCTATTCTGTGAAGCATTCTTGACCAATAAATTATCACATTTCATCCCCACTTAAACATGTAAGCAGAGGGAGCCATACCTCCTTTGTGCCACCTTTGTATCTTTTATGACAATTACTTTTATATATATTATACCACTTTAAAGATAGCTATCTATATTTCCCATCTTTGTATCTCCAATGCACAACAGATGTTGTAGGGTCAAATATGACTTAAATGAATAAACTGGTAGATACTCTTTAAAGCAAAGATATGGCTTTATCGTCCAAGATATCTAGCTTACTGCAAAATCAATTACCAGCTATGCGATTTTGGCCATATTACTTAACTTGAATCTACTTCCTCATCTGAGAAATAGGGATAATACCTATCATACCTATCTCACCAAGTTGTGAGAAATGAGAATATGTGCCTTGTACATACATTGCACAGCATATTATTGACTTTTCAGGGTACTAACATGGGACCCTTTCTATCTTGTTCCATGTCTTTCCACCAGGATTAATTCTTTCCTTGGTATTTGATATGCTTCCTCTTCTTCCCTGTCACCATCATTCTGGAAACCTAGTTCATTCCTACTATTTTGATGGCACATGATACATATACAGTCTGTATTTTGGCCACAGAGTAAATATTCAACCTGTGTGGCCAACTATATTAGCAAAGAAGGTTTAATGTGATATGGACACTCAATTCCAATAAACTAGTGTGCCAATAATCTTTACTTCTCAAATCTCCTTCAATCCAAGATATCTGTCCCTCAAAAAATTCCCAATTTTATTATCATTATCCTACTTCGTTAATAACAAAGTGATATTTTTCTTTAAAGATCTGCCACGGAATGACTGCATTAATGCCCAAAACTCTTCACCCCTCCTTGTATCCATGCCCTTTGCTGTGTGACTGAGTACCATCATACTGACTCTGAATGTGGCCATGTAACTGGCTTTGGTTACTGGGAAGGTGACAAACATAACAAAAGAAAAGACTTGAAAAGTGCTTGTATGACTGGGCATGAAGCTTCTGCATCTCTGCTATTACCAAGAGAACGTGGCCAGGCTAATCTTCTGGGTACAGTCTGTTTAGCAGCCCTGGCTGACTGAAAGACATATGAGTGGGCTCAGCTGAGACAAGAATAACTGCCCAGTCATTGACTATAGACTCATATAGGGTAAATAAATATTGTTTTAAGTCACTGAGTTTTGAGGTAGTTCGTTCAACAGCATTTTTGCAGTAATGGATAACCAATACAATGCTCTATAAACCAGTACAACTCGGGATCTAGCCAACACTTTGGCTATCTTTCAACTAAGAAATAGTAGAGATCCTTTGTACTTTAGGAAGCCCATCTTTCCAGTCTCCATCTTCAGAAAACTTTTCAGAAAAAGCTGGCTAAAAGTAACCCTTTCCTCAAACAAGTCAATTAATTTCCCTTTGTACATACATATCTGAGCATTATATTTAATGCTGTCATCTGAATGCTATCTGGGTAACTCTTTGACCCATTCAGCATTTTCATAAAATGTACCAGACTGCACTGAATGTAACGGAATGTTATAAAGGAGTAAGTCATCAAATCAACAAAATGCAATATACGGACCTTGTTTGGATTCTGATTAGAACAAATCAACTTCCTCAAGCAAAATGAGGAAGACTCGCAACAGATGTTATTAGCTCAGGGCCAATCTTCCTCACCCTGCCCCCCCAAAAAAGAGACTCCAATTGGAAAATGGGCACAAGATATACACAGACATTTCACTGAAGGAGATATATGAATGGCAAATAAGCACATGAAAAAAAAGTTTATCATTAGTCATTAGGGAAATGCAAAGTGGATACCTCAATCACTACACACCTCTCAGAAGGGATAAAATGAAACATAGTGATATCATCAAATGGTGGCACGGACGTGGAGACTAGATCTCTAATAAATTGCTGGTAGGAATGTAAAATGGTACAGTCACTCAAGAAAAAGTTTGGCACTTGCTATCAAAACTAAAAATGGACTTACCATATGACCCAGCAATTGCACTCTTGGGCATTTATCTCAGACAAATGAAAACTTATGTCCACATAAAAATCTGTACATAAATGTTTATTACAGCTTTACTGGTATTAGCCAATAACTGGAACCAACCCAAGTGTCCTTTAATGTGTAAACGGTTAAACTATGGTATATCCATACCATGGAATATGACTCAGAAATAAAAAGAAATGAACTACTGATATACACAACAACTTCTGTGAATTTCAAGGAAGTTACACAGAGTAAAAAGAGCCAATCTCAAAAGAACACATACTGCATGGCTCCATTTATGTAATATTCAGTGAAATAACATAATTATAGAGAAGGAGAAAGAATTAATGGTTGCCAGGAGCTAGGAATAAAGGGGTATGGGTGTGGCCAGAAAGGGGTAACATGAGGAAGTCTTGTGGTGACGTCACAGTTAAGTAACCTAATTATGGTGATAGTTACCCAAGTTACACAAGTGCTAAAACTGCATAGAGCTACATACACACACACACACACAGAGTGGGTGCATAAGTGAATAAAATGTAAGGATTGGACCAACATCAATTTCTTGGCTCTGATACTGTACTACAGTTGTGTAAGACGTTAATATAAGTGGAGGCTAGAGGAAGAATACATAGAATTCCCTAAATATGTCTCTGCAATCGCCTGCAAATATAATTATTTCAAAATTAAAAAAATAAAAAGTAGTGAGCTGAAACCATATTTTGTACTAATGAAATGACTGAAATTCTTACCTTTGCTGCCACTTCAGCACTAATCTCTTCTTGAGTTTCTGCTAATCTTTTCTTAGCCACTTCTGTTCTTCGATCACAATCTGCAATGAATGACTGCAGATGATCCATAGCCTACAAAGTTTAATGAAAAGACAATTACTGCCAGAAAAATCAACTTCATTCATAAATATCTTTACTCAAAAATTATGCTTTGTTTTTTAAAACACTACTATAAGGTCTGGCCCCAGGGCCTAGTGGTTAGGTTCAGTGTGCATCGCTTCAGTAGCCTGGGGTTCCTGGATTTGGATCCCAAACATAGACCTACACCACTCATCAGCCATGCTGTGGTGGCAACCCACATACAAAATATAGAGGAAAACTGGCACAGGTGTTAGCTCGGGGCTAATCTTCCTCACCAAAAAAATAATAAAAAAAGTAAAATAAATAAAATGCTATTATAGAAGTAAAAACTAAGAAAAGCATGTTCAATTATGAATCATAAATACTATTCATCATCTATCAAACTGGCAAAGAGAAACATGAATAATTCCCAAAAAAGGTTATAAAGAAATTGCCACTCTCACACACCACTGAAGGAAGCAGAAACCAGTACAGCCTTTAAAAAAAAGCAATGTGGTAATTTGCATCAAAAGTCTTAAAAATGTCCCAACTTAGTAATTTTATTTCCAGAAATTTGTTTTAAGAAAGTAATCAGATATATGGAAGGATTAAAATTCAAATATGTTCTTCACATTGCTATTTATAAATGGTAAAAAGCTGTAAATATCCTAATTATCCAGGTAATGTAGAAATTTTGATCTTCAGCCATTAAAAGAAGATCTCAATAGAACACTTAAGGACATAAGAAAACGTTCATGATTGATTTATAAATAAAAAGTAAGTCACAAAATGTTATATGCAGTAAGTGCCCAATTTTCTAAAATAAACAAAAAAATGGAAGAGCATACATAAAATGATAATTATTTCTGAAGATTTGGATAATTCTTAATAATTTTTCTGCATTTTACAAATTTTCCACAATGAAAATGTTATAATCAGGAAAACACATCCTTTTTTCAAAGAATAAGCCATTGAGAATTTCAGCAGTGTCTATAGTCTACAGTGCAAAAATCTAGTTGAATATTTATATAAAAGACATTTGTCAAGCATATATCAATATGCCTACAATTAAATAATAGTTTATTTAAAAGTAAACTTTTAAAGTTTATTCCCAAATTAAGCAATCTGGACATCCATATCTTACTGTATGGAAATACCGCTAATTTAAAGCACAAATGTTCAATTAAAAATATAAATTTACTCAGCACATATTGAATTCTATAAATGGCTGGTTAACCCAAGAATCTAGGAAATGAAAAGCAATAAGGGTCATTTAGAAGCTTTTATCTGTGATGACAAAGAAATAGCTCTTTTAATTTAAAATTCATCTTTAAAATTACAACAAAAATCAATTAAAACTTCCTTGTGGGAAGATAAAAGTAGCATCTCAAAGCAGTGAAAGAACAGATGGACTAATCAATAAATAGTGTTGGGTCAACTAAGCAGCTATCTGGGGAAAAAAGCTAGATCTATACCTCAATTCCTTAGACCAGAATAAACTTAAGTTGGATCAAAGATTTAAGTGAACAAAACAAAGCCATAAAAATACCAGAAGAAATCACGGTAAAGAACTCTTATCCCCTCACAACAGGGAATGCTTTTTGAATTAACCCAACAGAGATTTTTAAAAGACTGGTAAGTTAGACACCAATAAAAGCAATCTCCAAGACCCACAACCACCGAAAGAAAAAATAGGAAAAAATGTAAAATATTATGAGGGAAGGGACTAATTTTCATAATAAATAGTTAGTACAAATCAATTAGAAAAATGCTAACATCCAAGATTAGCCAATAGCCCAAAAAAATTGTATACTAACAGTTCACTGTGAAGGAAACAGAAACAGATCTTAATACATGAAATATGTTCAAACTCACTCATAAGAGAAATACAAATTAAAACTACAATTTATGTTCCATATTTCATCTACCAAAGTTGTAAAAAAAATCTTGACAACACACTATGTGGCCATATGAGAAACAGATAATCTCATATATTAATGGCGGGAATGCAAATTGGTAATTCTCATGGAGAGCAATTTGGCAAAATTAACTCTTTGACTCAGTTATTCTATTTCTAGAAATTTATTCTATAAACACTTCATAAGCAAAAATTATCTATTATCATACTATAATAGAAAAAGACTGAAAATACACCCTAAATATCCATACCCCTACATCTAAGTGATGGTGAATTTCTGTTGTGTTTTATGCCCAGTGTATATTAAATCATAATCCAACTGCTTTAAAGTTTTTTCCCCAGTTGTTTCAACCTCATATTAAATTGTTTATATAAATGATTTTCATTTCTGTTAGGAGAAACTGTCTGAAGTTTAAAGAAGTAGACGGTGGGGCCTGTTGACTGCTTTATGTCCCAAACTAAATGAAACACCCACTACCTTACTGATAAAAAGTATTATAAGATTTAGGGGTCAGCCCGGCGGCGTAGCAGGAAGTGCGCATGTTCCACTTCGGTGGCCTGGGGTTTGAGGGTGCAGACATGGCACCGCTTGGCAAAGCCATGCTATGGTAGGTGTCCTACATATAAAGTAGAGGAAGATAGGCATGGATGTTAGCTCAGGGCCAGTCTTCCTCAGCAAAAAGAGGAAGATTGGCAGCAGTTAGCTCAGGGCTAAACTTCCCCCACCAAAAAAAAGAAAGGAAAAAGAAGTATCGTAAGATTTATGCTCAACAGTATGTTTTATGTAATGGTGATTGGCTTTTTAAATATAAATGCAAAAAAAAAGTTTCCCTGTTTTTTATTCTTTTTGGTGAAGAAGACTGGTCCACAGCTAACATCAGTTGGTTGCCAATCTTCTTCTTTTTTTTCTTTCTCCCCAAAGCCCAAGTACATAGTTGTATATCTTAGTTGTAAGTCCTTCTAGTTGTTCTATGTGGGATGCTACCACAGCATGGCTTGATGAGTGGTATGCAGGTACATGCCCAGGATCCAAACTGGTGAATCCCAGGCAGCTGAAGCAGAGCACACAAACTTAACCACTATGCCATGGGGCCAGCCCCCAGTTTCCCTATTTTTAGACAAACAATTCTCATCATGTTTGTATAAACAATAACATAAAGTCAGATTTTGAGCCCTTTAGATACCCAAATGGTGTCTTCTATTTCTTTTATTAGATTTACATAAAAAACATCATCCATATCTTCCTTCTCTCTTTATATATTTACAGATACAAAAATGAGTGTGAATGTAAAAATTCAGTAGATTATTAAAGGGCCTTATATACACTAGAAATTAATTGCTTTCATTTGCTTAAACTGCTATTTCCTTAATCATTACTACTTTATTGGGAAGAATATGCTTACTTTTCAAAAGAATATATGAATTGCATGACCTTTACAAACTTTCTTAAAATACTCAGTTTCACTTTATTTTTTTTTTTTTTAAAGATTTTTATTTTTTCCTTTTTCTCCCCAAAGCCCCCCAGTACATAGTTGTATATTCTTCGTTGTGGGTCCTTCTAGTTGTGGCATGTGGGACGCTGCCTCAGCGTGGTTTGATGAGCAGTGCCATGTCCGCGCCCAGGATTCGAACCAACGAAACACTGGGCCGCTTGCAGCGGAGCGCGAGAACTTAACCACTCGGCCACGGGGCCAGCCCCTTCACTTTATATTTTTAAAAAAATGTTAGTCAAGAAAGTACATGATCTTACTTAATTTAGTACTACCCTTCATATAACCACAACGAAGATAATTTGATAAGAGCCTTTTCCTATTAAGAGATATTAATCCATATTCAAAATATTTTACTGCAAAAGATAATCTAACTCATTAAACCAAAATCACATACATCAAGTTCAAAGAAAAAATCTTGTTCTTTGGATGCAATTTCATAATCCGCTCTTAAAGCCAGGTCATGGACTTTCAGACATTCTCCAAGGTCCATTCTCTAGGGAGGGAAAAAAAGATTCATATTACTGAAACAGAAAACACATTTTTCAAAAATTCATTAACCACCACAGTTCTCTTCAGAATACATATCAAGTTATAGAGATGTTTCTTTACTTATGGACTTTAAAACTACAAAATTTCATGGACAAGTATAAAACTTGGTGCTAGAAAAAAAAAAACTGCATTAATTCTGTCTACCAACAGATGGGAACAGTGATTACTTTTTTACCTAAGAACAAATGGTTAAGAAAAAGCTTGCCAGAATCTCAAAAAAGCTTCTAGCTTTTATATCAAAACATATTTCACTTGGCCCTTTAACACAGAAAAGATAAAGTTAATTTTAAATCAAACTAAAAGAATGTATGAATCAAATTGTTGAATTATAGTCAATATCCTTTGAAGAACATTTTGTTTTTTATTGTGGTCCTAATAGTTTATAACATTGTGAAATTTCAGTTGTTCATTAATAGTCATCAGACACTACATAAATGTGCCCCTTTACCCCCTGTGCCCACCCTCCAGCCCTCTTCCCCCAGTAACACTAAATTGTTCTTTGTTCATAAGTTTGTTTATATTCCACACATGAGTGAAATCATACAGTGTTTGTCTCTCTGTCTGGCTTATTTCACTTAACATAATGCCCTTAAGGTTCATCCATGTGGTTGCAAGTGGGATGACATTGTCTTTTTTAATGGTTGAGTAGTATTGCATTATGTGTGTATATATATATATATCACATCTTCTTTGAAGAACACTTTGATTTTCAAATAAAGATGGAGTCCTCAAATAACAGACTGGTGAGTTTGACATGGATTCCCAACAAGAGACCAAGTGAACTAGTAAAGAGGGAATTTATTAAGACTCACTATAACTTCAGCAAGAACAAGTATCTAAGTCCACCTCTGATAAGCATTTATCAGGGAAATAAAATACTCTTACAGAACATAGGATCTTTCTACTTAGAATTCCAATTAGACATTATTTACCAAACCATAGGTGTTTCTCCTATCTAAAACAAGTTCCTAAAAATCGGTTAATTTCTACTTGTATCTGGGAAACTGATGTTTCATGAAATATTTTTGGGGAAAAACTGAGGGGGAAAAAATGGGCTAGAAGCAAAGATAATTACAGATGTGATTAATGGGTGATGAAAAGCAAAGCAGAGGTTTTCGAGTTGTAGGTATGCTATCCCATCACTGGAAGGTCTCAGAATCTCTGGAAGGGTGGTGAAAAGGAAATAGACTAATTCAAAAAGGTACAGTAAATATTCCTTTTGTTTTTTGTTACACAAACTACACAAAGTACAAGTACAACAAACATTACCACAGTAAAGTCATTCCTTCAACTAATAACTTAGGACCTACTTATGCCAAGCACTATGCTAGATGCTAGGGACACACTAATAAGTGACACCAAGATACAGTCTCTGACCTCATGGAGCTAACATTCTACAGAGAAGGAAACAAATAATGAACCACACTTGTGTCTCTGAACAAAGTTAAACGACATAATAAAAGAGAAATGCTCCCATTACTATGGGAGGCTACTTGGGATGAGGTGGTCAAACAAGATCTTTCTGAAGAGGACACATTTAAACTGGATCTAAAAAGTGAGAGGAAGCAAACTAACCTTAAGTGTGTTCAAAGATTTACAGAAGATTTAGAAGGCAGATCCTTCAAAAAGGATAGGCCAGAGTCACCCAACCAAAGGGAAGTTTCTAGCAGCAGGGAACAGGACTGGAGTATCTACAGCACACAGGTCTGCGTCTCAGCTTTGTAGGATCTAGAAACAACTTTGCCTGTTTAACTTTTTTGCGAACAATCTGGATATGTGTACAACAAAGGATATGATCACCAATTTTGCAAAATATCCCAAACTAAAACAGTCAAACAGATTGACAGAGCAGATAAAAAATAAATAAATATGAAGTCCTATGGTTATAGCTAAGAAAAAAATTTACAGATAACTAGGTATGAGCAGAAAATTAGACAAATTAAAAAAACTTAGTAGGCAAAAGTAAGGGTTTTGGTGTGGCACGACCAAGAAATTTAAGTGATATAAAACTAACTTACAGGATGCAGTATGAGCAAAGTGAGAAATCTCTTACTGAAGGCTAGTGTTAAAAGCAAACAACTCTCTTCCAAAAAACACATTCTGTGTGGTAACACATTTCAATAAATAAATTAGATTTATTTAATAATAATAAATTTATTTAATAATAAATAAATTAGACAAAGTGTCTCAAAACCAAGCTATACAAAAAAGCCAGAGAACAGATGTAATTAGCTGGAGAAGAATCAAGATGTGAACCTAGTCATCCATCAACTGAAGAACTTTTCAGTTTATTATGGCCCCAAGGCACTCCAGTCAGATTTTAACTCTCTCAATACAAGAAAATATTTTCTAATTATTAGAGCTTTCCAAAGATGGAATAAGCCTCCTCAGTTAGTGAGTTTCCAGATAACGGAGAGAGTCAAATACAGTTTGGACAACCATTTTTCTAGGTTATCAAGGAAAGAATTCAACCATCAGGTAGCTTTTTATTTTTTGAGGAAGATTAGCCCTGAGCTAACATCTGCTGACAATCCTCCTCCTTTTGCTGGGGAAGACTGGCCCTGAGCTAACACCAGTGCCCATCTTCCTCCACTTTATATGTGGGACACCTGCCACAGCACAGCTTGCCAAATGGTGCCATGTCCACACCCGGGATCCAAACTAGCAAACCCCGGGCCGCCGAAGCAGAACTTGCGAACTTAATCGCTGCACCATCGGGCTGGCCCCTATCAGGTAGCTTTTATTCTTCCTTCTAACTCTGAGATTTTATGACTATCTAAAAGAGAAGTTTCTCTGTAAACTTTATTACCTCAGTTCTTAATTGCACAAAGCAACGAATGGGAAAATAGACAATGCCATCAAAGATATCCTTGCGGAAATAATAAGGGATATTCACTATTATAAAAGTCCTCATCACACTAACGGCTCTAAAGTATCAGGGTGTTGCTGAGCATGCTGAAATTTTCCCAGGCCCCACTGCTTACTCCCGTTCATTAGTCTATGGGTTAACAAACTAAGGAGTTTCCCAGTGACAAAGAGCAAATGAAACCTTCTACAGGTGTATGGAAATTCAAAGCTGCTTATTAAGCAACATGTAGTAAAGAAAAAATGTAATACTCTTTCAAAAAAACTTGCAGGAACGAAAGAAGTTAACAAAGAATTTGTTACTGCTACACCAGCCAGTTGTTTTCTTAATATCTTTTTTTTTTCTCCCCAGAGCCCCAGCACATAGTTGCGTATCCTAGTTGTAAGTCCTTCTAGGTCTTCTATGTGGAACGCTGCCACAGCATGGCCTGATGAGAAGTGTGTAGGTCCGCACCCAGGATCCAAACCCGCAAACCCCAGGTTGCCGAAGTGGAGTTTGCAAAGTTAACAGCTACGTCACCAGACCAGTCCTTTAATTAAGAGTATCTTAACATTAATCACTCCAACAACTCCCTTTACATTTGTATGTATTTCCACGGCTATAGTTGTTCATGGGACTACACTTACTTCATAAAATGTTAAGATGTCACAGTCGGAAATGCCTTTGGTTGAGCACACTGGTTCTCAACCTGGACCCAGGGGAGCTTTTAACTAACATTGATGGAAGCTTTTGAAAACAGGCCCAAGCCCTACCTTCCAAAGACTGAACTGAAAAGCCTCCCAGGCGCTTTAATGTACAGGGTTGAGAACCACTCACTGATCTAGTTCTCTTCCCATTCTACAGAAAAAGGAACTGAAGCCCAGAAAGACTGACTTGTTCAGGGTACTTATTAGAAAATCTGGTTAGACTGATTTCCAGTCTAACACCCCTTCTACCTTATCACGTTACTTCCAAGTATTTCAGTAGTAACTTATCTTTTAATATTTTCAGATGATATCCCCTATAACATCTAAAAAAGCTCTGCACGCAGCAGATATTCAAAGCAGCTGTCTACTGCCTTTCCCCCAGTTCTATCTTTATCCCCTGATCAACCACAATTCCAATCTGTTCTAAAAAAAAACTTAAAAGTAACATATAAGCCTTGTTGCCCACTCATAACTACCTTTTGACAAGAATTCTAGGCTTTCCCACAACTCTCTCTTTAAATTTACATCACAAGACCAACCAAAGGAAGAAAAGCAACTATGTGGATCAAGAACAAAATGAACACCAAAAAGGACACAATGACACCACTGTAGTGGGGCTGGAGCTTTGGTGAGAGGAGTAGAGTTGGGGGTAATGTATGCCTTGGGAGAGATTTATGGGACAGGAAAAAATTTATTAACTCTCTAGAATCTAAGCTCCAAAAGGACGTAGATTTTTTGTTCTATCCACTGTGTACCTGTGCCTGGTAGATAGCAATGTTTAATAAATATTTGTTGAATGAACCAAAGTGGGAAAATAGGGCATCCGGCAAAGGGGGTTCTAGGCTTGACAAGCAAAGGTGGTCAAGATGCACCCCAGGACAAAACTGGTCTGAGCTCTGCAGGGCAAAGTCTCCTCAGCCTCTCCTTGGATTATTTCCTTTGCTTCATCTCCTTTCCTTCATACGTCTTCTGAACTTCTCTTCTTTTTTCCTGTGTGCTCTTTTCCTCCAGGAGGTAGACTACTTGGGCTTTTCACTGTCCTGGGCCGCACATATGGAATATTTAAAATAAATAACAAGCAAGCCAAAATAAACCAAACAATTATTTGCCCCTGTAAAAGTGAGTAAATGGAAAGTATGCGTATGTTAATGTTCTCTGAGACCCTAGCCATCTAATTAAAAAGCAACCAGAGGGAATCATGATAGAGCACACCATGACCAACTATGGACCAATATTCAAAAGTAGAAATCAATCCTGACTTCATCACTGATGGTGCAATAGTGCTCTGAACACTAAGTGCACAGATATTTGCTGTTGCTGCTTCTCTGTTGAAATAAGTGAGCCTCGGGGCCGGCTCCGTGGCCGAGTGGTTAAGTTCGCATGCTCCGCTGC